GTGCTCTGAGGGGGAGCTGGGATTTTGCTCCCACTGCCAAGTTCAGCTCACACATACTCAGAACTGGAGGTACTCCTCGGAGGCAGTGTGGTTAGAATACCAAGGGTGGGCTTGAAAAGCAGACTTCCTGTGTTCAAATCCCTGCGCCTAAAACTACTTTCTAAAATGCCCCCAAGGTACTTACTCTCTCAGTGCCTCAGTTTCCTCATCAGTAAATGAAGAGGATGTTGGTTCCTACCACAAGACTGTCCTGAGGATTCAATCCGTTAAAATCTGTACACTGTGGGAGGCAGTACATAGTCCGTGTACTTTTTTGTTGTTGTTGTTGTTAAGTGCCATTGAGTTGGTCCCAACTCGTAGAGATCCTGATATAGCGTTTTTGAGGTGCAATTGGTGGGTTTGAAATGCTGACCTTGTGGTTAGCAGTCCTGTGCTTATCCTACAGTGCCACACCATAGCAAGTGTTAGATTATTACTTTGTTACATCGTTTTATTTTTTTAATTAACAGACCCATTGTGTCCTTTCAGTTCTGACTCATAGCGATCCCTGTGTTACAGAGCACAGCTGTGCTCCGTAGGGGTTTTTGGCTGTAATCTTTCTGGGCAGTGATTGGTTCTGATTGGTTCTGTTGTCCACAGAGTCTTTTTGAGTCAGAACCAACTCAGTGCCAACTACTGTCTTTATAAAATCTAATCACCAGGCTTCTCTTCCGTGGCACTATTGGGTTGGTTTTAACTTTTCAAAGCAGCAAAGTGTAAACCATGTGTACCTCCAATGGACCTATGGTGGGTCTCTAGCCCGCTGCCATCTAGTTGATCCTGTTCCCTAGCCCCCATATGCAGAGTCCCCGAGACTATAAATCTTTATGGAAGCAGAAAGTCTCATCTTTCTTCTGTGGATTTGAACTGCCGACCATATAGTTAGCTGTCCAACGCCTCATCCACAGCGCCACTAGGTCTCCTTGTGTTTAATCTATAGTGATAGATAACACGCAGTGAACGCTGGGAGTTCCATATGGGGGAATCCTGTCGGAGGAGGAAACTCAGTTATTTGTCCCTAAATAGAACAGTAATGAGAACCTGTCAGAGTGGAAGACTGGCGGGGGCTCACTGTGTGCAGTCTAGTTGGTTCCGACTCATAGTACCCCTGTGTAGGGTTTCTAAAGCTGTAAATCTTTCCAGGAGCAGACAGTCTCATCTTTCTCCCACGGTGCAGTTGGTAGATTCGAACTGCTGACTCTGCAGTTAGCAGCTGAGCTCATAACTCACTACACTACCAGGGCTCCTAGAAGACGTGTGAGATTAAAAAATAAAAAAGCAGTCCTGTCCAGTTGTTGCTCTCATGGGTCCACTGTATATGAAATAATATAATATACACGATACTACAGAATCTATAGTGTATGTAATAGATACATAAATATATAACATACACATATATACATATAGTGATAAAATACAATGACAGAATAGACTTACCTGTTACTAGTATTTGGAGACCTGGTGTAGCACTGTGGGTTAATGCACTGAACTGCAAGGTCGGGGTTTCAAGCTCATCAGCTGCTTCCTCGGAAACCCTTTACATAGTCACTATGGGTCAGAACCGACTCAATCGCGCTTAATAACAACAGTAACATTTATTAGTACCAGCAGCATGGTTAGAGAACTGAATTTCTATTTCAAAATCAGTTCAGAATGACTTCTGCTGTGCAAGTTAATGAGGAGACATACTCTGTTCACACTAACATTTAGTGTCAAACCCTGTTCATCAGATCCTCTTCCTTATCTCAGACAGAAACAAATGAGCGGATCGTTAGATACCCAGAGCTGAGTGTCTCTCTGCTCCATTATGGTCCATGAGCAATATTGGGTCCTGGTCTGAAAGGCTGACATCCCTGGGCCAAAATACAATGTAATGTACTCTCATCTCTGAACTGCCTCTCACCCCATAGGAGACAAGAAGGAAGACGATATGGAATATGTTCAAGAAGAAGAACTCCAAGCCCTTTTACACAAAGAGCTCTCCTACTGGAAAATCTGGGACCAGGTGGCTGGTGAATTAACGGGCAGTCGGGACCCTCGAGGGAATCTTCAAGGGAGACACTTCCAGTTTTCAGAAGCTGCTTCTCAGTGTCCAGGGTGGGAAGGCAAATCTCCTCAAGGCTGTGAAATTGAGAATGTGGTAAATGGTCTTCAAGAGAATGGCCCCCTCCATGTTGAAAATCATATGTTTCCCACCTGGAAAGCTGTGAGCCCAGTGCCCGTTCAGCAGTCTTGGACCCTTGTGAAGGAGTCTTGGAATGTTGATGGAAGCTGTAAAAAACTAGACAAGGAAGACCCCCTCTATAAATGTGATGGGGGGGATTATAGCTTCAGCTGGATATCACGTTGCCGTGATGATCACAGACTACCTGAAGGAGAGAAATCCTATCAGTGTGATGAGTACAGAAATGACTACGCTGACAAGGCAACACTTTATCACCCTAACTCTAGTGCGAATGGCTTTAGAAGTGAGGAAGGTGGAAATGGCTTCAGGGATGCTTCAAACCTTCCCCCTCACCCACAAGTGCACTTAGAAGAGAACCCCTTTGAGTATAAGGAGGATGTGAGGCAGATCACGTATCCTGACAGATATCAGAGTGTCCCCTTAGGAGGGGTACCATCTACAAGTCTTGAATGTGGTCAGAACTCCAGACAAACTGTTGAACCTCTTAAAGTCCATATAGGAGAGAAATTCTATACGTGTGGTGAGTGTGGGAAAGGCTTCTGGCGGATTTCAGACCTTCATAGTCACAAGAAGGTCCACACAGGAGAGAGGCCCTACGTGTGTGATGTGTGTGGTAAAGGCTTTATTTTCAGCTCTGACCTCCTCATTCATCAGAGAGTCCACACAGGGGAGAAGCCATATAAATGTGGTGAGTGTGGCAAAGGCTTCAGTTATAGCTCAGTCCTTCTCATCCACCAGAGGGTCCACACAGGCGAGAAACCTTACAAATGTGAGGAGTGTGGCAAGGGCTTCAGGTGCACCTCAAATCTTTATATCCATCAGCGAGTCCACACAGGAAAAAAACCCTATACGTGTGATGAGTGTGGGAAGGGTTTCAGTTACAGCTCAAATCTTCGCACCCACAAGAGACTACACACAGGGGAGAAACCCTACACGTGTTTTGAGTGTGGAAAGACCTTCAGGTTCGGCTCGGGTCTCATGAGCCATAAAAGAGTACACACCAAAGAGAAACCGTACAGATGTGAGGTGTGTGGGAAGAGTTACAGCCAGAGCTCCCATCTCCAAGGCCATCTGAGGGTCCATACGGGAGAGAAGCCCTATCGCTGTGAAGAGTGTGGGAAATGCTTCAGTCAAAGCTCCTCCCTTCAACTTCATCAGAGAGTGCACACACGCGAGAGACCCTATAAGTGTGAGGAGTGTGGGAAAAGCTACAGTCGAAGCTCTTGTCTGCGAATTCATCAGCGGGTGCACGTGAAGTGAGGAAATCTATTAGTAAATATCCGTTGAGGACTCTGATTAGAATCAAGGACTTTCTCTTGATTTGAGAGTTACTTTATGAAAGAAGCTTGTATGAAGGGTTGTCGTAGAGGCTGAAGTTTCCATAGTCATCAGCTAGTCCCCCAACAAGGGAAGATCTGAAAATCTGATAAATAAAACCTTTTATTTGCAACCCTTGGTCCTCAAGAGTCTGTCACAGGGCAGAATAATCCTTCAATGGCATGGTCATGGCTTTGGTCAAAATTGTCCCCTTTCCTCAGAGGCTGTCCAGGAGAGGGAGGACATGTCAAAGGTGTGTCTATGGGCATGGATTTCTTGTGGGGGAAAATCCTATAATGGAGGGATAATTTGTCACCTTACTAAAACCAATGTCATGTATGCCTTGAAATTTTAAAAAAATTATAAAAAAAAAAAAGGTATTGTCAGTGAAAGTTAATGTTTCCAGTAAGATCAGCAGTTCAGCTCTATCAGCCACTCCCCAGAAGCCCTGTACAAGTTTGCTGTGAGTCAGAACTGACTTGAAGGCACTTAACAAGAACAACACACAGATGGTTCAGAGACAGTGGTTACGTTTTTGTCTCTCTCTCTCTCTTGTTTGTTAACATTCTCATTCATTCCTTTCTGAATGTTTTGCTTCCTGTAACCTGGTTTTCATGTAGCTGTTCGCTACATCTTTGCTTTAGGTAATTGTTGACGACTTGGTTTTGTGTGGATGATTTTTTAATGGTGCTCAGTACTCATTGGTAATATTCTTTATCTTATGAGGCAGTGAAAACGTGTATGTTTGTCCTTTTAAAGATGTCATATCCTGTCAATTGGTTCCAACTCACAGCATCCTTGTGTAAAACAGAATGGAACACTGCCCAGTCCTGCACCTTTCCCGAATTAGTTCTGTGTTTGAACCCATTGTTGCGACCATTGTGTCGGTCCATCCCACTGAGGGTCTTCCTCTTTACACTGACCTCTACTTTCCCCAGCATGATATCCTTCTCCAGGAACTGGTCCCTACTAAGAGCATGTCCAAGTATGTGAGCTGATGTCTCACCATCCTCAATACTAAGGAGTTTGTTTGTCTGTACTTCCAAGAGAGATTTCTTCATTCTCCTGACAGTCTATTCCATATTCTTTGACAACAGTGTAATTTAAAAGCATCAATTCTTCATCTTCCTTGTTCGCTGCCCACCTTTCACATGCACACGAGGCGAATGAAAATAACCATGACCTCGGTCAGGTGCACCTTAGTACTAAAGGTGATATGTTTGCTTTTTAACACTTTTTTAAAGAGATCTTTTGCAACAGATTTGTCCAATACAATATGTCCTTTGATTTCTTGACGGCTGCTTCTATGGGTGTTAATTTCGGGACCAAGTGAAACAAAATCCTTGACAACTTCTGTCTTATTTCATTGAGAAGTTGTTAACAAATTTCAGGAATATTTTCTTTAGTCAAACTTGTAAACCAAACTCTTACTGGATTTTTAATTGCAATTACATTGGAGTAATAGGTAAACTTAAGTTTTAGGGGGACAGACCCCAAATTCAAACATTTGTTGTCGTTAAGTGCCACTGAGTTGGTTCTGACTCAGTAAGACCCTCTCTAGGGTTTCTAAAAGCAACCTGGTAGGTTTGAACTGTCAACCTTATGGTTAGCAGTACAGTGCTTATCCTACAACACCACACCAGCACTCCAAATTCAAACATCTATAGAGACCCCTTTATTAAGGCTTCTACAGGACTAAGACAAATCAGGATGAGGGAAACCATCAGCATGAGGTCATAAAGGTATCCAAAGGCTTAACGGCCATGTGGCCAATAATAACTCACTGCTGGGGAGACTACTGGACGGAGTGGACCCGAGGGTTTCCAAGACTAAACCTTTACGAGAGCAGACGGCTTCACCTTCCAAGGAGCCGCTGGTGGGTTTGAACAACAGACGATGCATTTAGCAGCCTGGCACTTAATCCACTGCACTACCAGGCTAATTCTTTGTTGTTGTTAAGTGCCATTGAGCCGGTTCTGACCCATAGCGACCCTGTATAGGGTTTCCGAGGAGCAGCTGGTGAGCTTGAACTGCCAACCTTACAGTTCAAATGGTTTTGCAGTCTGACGCTAATTCTAGATGATGGAAAACAGGAAATTGACCCCAAATCCTAATTGTCAGCCGATCAGTTCATCACTGTCACAGGTGGGAGGGACTACATGTCGGGGTTTTCCCTCGAAATAGTTGTCACGAGTGTTTGGTTCACGAGGAGGGGAGATCCAGCGGCGATAGGGATAGCGAAAGAACACACAGACAAACAGAAGAAGGGAGACAATGAGGCACCCCAAAGCCAGGGTGGATACATCACTGGTGGGCAGGCTTGGGACTACAGGCATCATGGC